ATATTATTTACCAAAATAGCAACAGAATTACTACCATTAAATAAATGACAATTAATTATTTCCATTTATTACTAATTATGCGAAAAAAGAAATACCATCACGAGCAATCAAATCTGCATCAATAATCGGAATATGATTTTCGATAAAAATTTGCGAAACAGTACTTTTCCCAGTTGCTATACCACCGGTTAAACCAATCAAATACATTTTACAAGCCTTCAATTAATATTTCCTCTAATAATTTATGAAATGAGAAAAAAAAATAAAAGAGAAAGCAAACTAAAATATCTGATTTATTCGAAACAAAAAATTCGATCATTTCACACGTTTTTTCAAATATAATCCGCATCTTCTTTGTTAACTTTTTTTTTCTTTTTTTGATTTACAGTGTGTATTTTTTCCTTTCATTCTTTTATAGTTGAAAAAATTTTTGTCATCGTTAGTTGATTCAACATGTTGAGAAAGGAAAGAGAATAAAACAAAAATTGAACATCACACAAAACTCTCCTCTCTTATTTTCTCGAATCTTTCATCTTTCCGGCATCAAATAATTAAAATAATTATAAATGCTCACATCGCTCGTGATAGAGATATTTTATACACTTCCCTAAACTATCCTATCCATGACCGTATAAGATATCGATGTTAACATCATATCATAACCATACCACACCGCACGAACATACACACCTATGCTATTGATAACTTCATTTTAAAAGATTTCACAAAAACCCAGAAATCATTGATCAAATTTCTCCCTTATTACTTTTCGGTTTCACCGGTCTTTCTTTTTTGGAATTATTTCTTGAGATATTACCAGTAACGACGATTTGGTAGGCTTAACTGTCTATATCAAAGACATTTAATTATTGAAGGAAAAAAAAAACCGAAATGTAAACAAACATCGATTCATAGCTTTTACTCATTGAATTTGTCACAAATCGTAATCAATAGCACAAAAAGGTAAAGAGAAAAAAAAAACTCGTACAAAAATATCTTTCCTTTGATTTTGATAGACCTGGCCATCCACCCCAAAATAATTTCTGCTAAATTTATCGAAGTTTTCAAAAAGAAAAAAGGAAAAAATTGAGCTGAAGTCGAAAAAAAAGAGCATAAACTTAAAATGGAATTTTTTAAAACGAAACCAAAATCTCCTCTTAGAAAATAAAACAAAGTAAAACTAAAATCGAAAATTAATTCTGAAAATACTTTATTATTATTACTATTATTATTATTATTATTAATTATTTATTATTATTAGGCTGATGGAAACAGCAAAAATTAAGAGCCAAAACAATCGAATCCATCTGCGAAGCATAATTCTTCTTATAGAGTTGACAATGTTTACTTGAATTTTTCAACGTTTCATATCTGGGGGGAAAAAAGGGAAGACAAACAAATTTCATCAATCATATGACAAGGCGTAAAAAAATTACAGTATATGTTGTTCTGTAATTTTGTGACAGCACATTTGACCCAAAATATGGCAATTAATAAAGAACTTAAAATGAAAAAAAAAACAGAGCCTTCTCAAATTATCGCCAAAGTCAAAACAAAATAACAAAGAGGAGCCCGTCCTTATGATAAAATAACTCGATCTATTAACATCAATTGCAAATTTATCATTTCAAGCTATTATTCCTCAAACACCCTACATTGCACACTAGTTTTAAAGTAAAAAATAAAATAAAATAAAAAATTGAAATTCCTAAAAACAGACGAGTGCCAAAATTTTAAATATACTTAATTTACCTGTCTTAAAATAAAGTTCAGAGGAGAAAGGAAAGGATTTGACTAAGTCACAAAACGAGTGGAAATATTTCTTAAAGAGCCGAAAAAAAGTATGGTAATCATCGCCATTCTTATTTATATAAAAAAATGAAAGAAAAAAGCAGCGACGACGGAATCATAAATGAATGCAAAATAGGAGGTAAAGAACGAATGCGTTTATACGCGCTCGTTCACGAAACTTTCTTTTGAACTTGAAGAAATACTCATAAAGATGAAAATCGATAAACTTTTGTACTTTTTAAATTCCGTGCTTGTATGTGTAATTGAATGAAATCTCAAGCAATCAATTAAAATTACATCCCAAAACATTTAACAACAAAATGAAAAAAAAGAATTACATCCAAACAAACAGCAATTATGAATAAACCAAATTAAAATGAATCACAGGAACAATTTATAAATTACATATGAAATCAATTTTAGCCATTCAATACTTGAATTTATATACAGTTCAAAGTATGAAGGAAAAAAAACCTGACAGAACTCGGCGATTTTTGCCTTTTTATTTCTTCTTATATTTCACAAATGCAGACCTCATAAATATTACAAATAACATTCCTAAAATTTCACCTCACACTTTTAGACCGCAATCTCAAATTCAATTTCAAAAAGCCTAATTAAGCCGGAACAAGTTGCGGAACATTTACTATTTCCCCGAATGAGGATTTGATGGAAGTTGTGAATTTGACGATGTGGAATGTGGTGAAGTCGAACTGCTCGATATCACCTGACTTCCATACCTGGCGCTTAAAGCTGCCACCGCTGCTTGCTGATGAAGTAACTGCTGCTGAGCAAGCAATGCGTATTGCGCCAACAACTCCTACAATATGTACATTTGATAATCATCCTAAGCGAACAATCATAATGACAAAAAGCCAAACATATATACTTTATTTCTCTTCTTAGCTGTCATTAACAAAATATCCATGAGAGGATGTACCGTTGAAGCGAGCTGTCCAATAGCAGATGTTCCGGAAACGGCTGTGTTTGAATGAGTTGGTGTCCGAGGAGCAACAAAATTTCCACCTAACGCATTCGCAGCAGCAGCTGCTGCAATTGCTGCTGCAGCCATTTGTTGCCTTTCGGAAGTTAGTGTCAAATGGGCACTATTTTGTGATCCACTACTAAACAGATCCAGTGCGTTTGTTACAGCGGCTGTCGATGGCATACTTGTTGGAAGTTGTGTATTGGTGAAATTCGCCAATAAAGGTGTGCCTATCCCCGTATTCGCTGATGCTGCCGACGGAATTCTAAATCATTGTCCGTGTAAAAATCAATATTGAAACTTTGTAACTTACACGACATTTCGCCAAAGTTTTTCTCAATTTCCTTTTTGTCTAAATTTGATCACTGAATAATTAACTGCTCTAAAAAAAAGGCAAACTGTTCATTGAGTTGAACCATAAATACCCTATTTAAATAATAGTTGTATGAAGTAAATATTACAATCTTTCATTTAGCAGAATTTCCACATCTGAAGACTTACCTTTGTAATACTAAACTATTAATAAAAAAAAATGATTCAAATTAAATAAAAACAAATCGATCCATCTACATTCTTGCTTAACGATAAAATGCAGAAAAACTAACCGACTGGAAGGAAGTGAAGCTTGCTGCACTGATGTAGCACCAGAAGTAGTGCTAGCTACGGGTGTTTGTCGGCTTTCCGTACCACTAGTGGTACCAGCCAACTGTCCGGCAGCAGCGACCGCAGCAGCAGCAGCAGCAGCTACAGCAGCTTGTGGTGTATGAGCACTTCTGTTCGTAATCACCGATCCGTTACTTGCAAGCGAACGTAACTGACTCAGTGAATCGTCGATAATGGGTGGAAGAGTGGAACAAAATGGGTTCAAAAAAGAGATGACCGCAGAACCAGCAGCTGCCTGAAGGGATTGCTGTTGCTGCTGTTGTTGTCCACAAATTGTTGCCGATGGCGGAGGTACAATCGATGGGAGACTTGAAATGGAAGCAGAGGAGGTAGGTTGTGTTGTACACTGCGTTGATGAGATGCCGCTATTCGACTGCAAACTGCTGTTTGATACTAACGGAATATTGCCACTGCTACTTGCTGCACTGATCCGTGGCGAATGATGTGGACTAAAAGATAACATTCTGTGTAATGTCTCTTGTAATAGTCACTTTAATACCCACTAAATCTTGAACGCTAATAAACAATACTAATGAACAAAAATGTAATATTCCACACCATATTTGTAAAAGGATTTTAACAAACTACGTTACGGTTGAACCGGATGAGATTGATTCTGGTATTTATAAGCAATATATTTTTCGAAGACCATATCTATTTGCTGTAAATAAAGACTACAGAAAGACATGAAACATACCTAGTACCAAGACCCAATGAAGAACCGCTTGCAAGAGAGAGTGATAACCTAGTATTTAATGCAAGCAGATGATCTCGCCGCCTAGCTAGTTGTGATAGTGTTTCTTCCAAACGAACGTTTTCCATTTTCAGCTCGTGCAAACACGACAAAAGTTGCGCAACTAAAAAATTCTTGTTATCTCATCAATCCAAAAAAAAAATTGATTCAACCTTACTTTCTTTATGGCAATTCAATAAAACACAATAAAATCAATATGGACTGATCTAACGCGTAAACTATGCATCATCATTTATTTAATGATAGGAGCTAAATATTATAAAAACCCTTGAATATTTCGTAAAGAAAAAACTAAAACTAATCGATGAACATCATCTAGCATTTCATATGTTAATAACACTGAAAACATATCCCTTTTGAGAGACATTTCATTCATTGCGGAACTGATAAAAGACTTCCAAAATAATTAATGATAAAACTCCCGTTCCTTTTTATTTTCACCAAAAACACGGCGCAAAAATAAATGTGAAGCACCAGTGAAGAACGAAAAAAAAAAAGAAAGGAGAAGACAAACTATCAAATGGTGCATGACTCATCAAGAAGTGTGATCCCTGTTCCCACTGCCGTTCTAACAGTTCTTCCATCGACTGTGGAAAAGCTACCGATTGTTGCGACACGGGACAAAGCGATGTAGCTGCAGCTGCACCAGATGTTGATGGGAGTGATGACGCTACGTGAGTACGATCAACTATTACAGCCGCCGCACTGAAGAAAAAATAATAAATGTGTGAAACATAAGCTAACGCAATTATTTTAAAAAATGCCACTTTCTCAACACAATTTATATGAGTACCTGAAGTGAACACGAAATTGTTTGACATACACTGTCATTTCATGTGCAAAAGTATTTGCAGAAATTCAGACAATACATCAGTAATATTTTTCAATTTAACTTCGCATTTCAGCAAAAGGAGGACATGCTTACCCAGCATCCGGGCTTACTACAGCTTTTGGTTGTGTCCTAATAAGTGGCACACCAATAAACGATGTTGTTGTTACAGTTGTTGTTGCTGACGGTTGCTGTTGTTGCGTTGACATCGAAGAACATGTCACTACGGTACTTTGAGCTGAAAGAAAAGTTACACCTTTGTTTTTGAAATGAGAAAGCAATGATTCAATTCTCCTTCTCATGCTTTTAACCTAAGAAATAAAAATTAATAAAAAAAAAAATTACCCGCTGAAGTGCTTGTCGAAACTGTACAGTTTGTTATTTCATGTTCTCCAGAAGTTGAAGGAACCGTTGAATGAGTAGCTGCAATAGTTGTCATACTATTATCACGTTCATTTAATCGCTCTCGTTGAAAATCGGAAACCGTTTCCTGAACAGAAAAAATTCAATAGATTATGAAACTAAAAGTTAATGAACACATGTAAATAAAATAACAAGAGGAGTAGCACTTACAATATTAAATATTTGGTGAAAACACAATGCATCACGATGCAAATGAAATCATCCATTGAAGTGAATGATGAAACACAAATGGCGTATTCAAAAAATAACAGATTAAAATTTAAATGTTTTGAAATATTCATAAATTACCGAGATCAAAGGTCCAACTGATTCAAGCAATGCTTTCATGGATTTACATGCTTTGTTATTACGCGGGCGTTTCGGTTTCTCCACACCATCAACTGCTTTTCTTTTTACTAAAAAAATATAAGAAAAATTTCAGCATACTTCTAAAGTAGAATAACTATCTGAAATTAACCAATGAAAAAAGTGTTCTTGAAACTTATATGAATCGATTGAGATGTATTTAGTCATGTTTTCAATATTGTACAGCTATTATTACTCTTACATCGATAGAATAAATGAACAATTTATTTTTTACACGATTCAATAAAATCAACAAAAAAAAGAATGAATAATGACGAATTGGGATTCACAGCTTAATATAGGTTTTTTTTCCTAGTCTTACTCAACATCATCACATAAAAATTAATACTTTTAAGTAACTCTGTTTATCAAACTAATGAAGTTATCCAGATGATTTTCCTTACTAATCAGAAAAAAATACCAGTTTTACTTCCAACATTTGCAACTGAACCATTATCTGTAGGGACATAATTTGTGCGAGAATGTAGCTTTATTTCTAGTTGAGATATTAAACTTCCATTGTTCAAATCTTTTTCTTCCATGCCAGTTGATAATAACTCGCCCTAAATAAATTATATCTCAAAAGCAAAGGAGTTTCAAAACATCAACATTTCTGAAGCCAGACCTTTGGAAGATAAGCTTCTCTTCAGGAAAAATGCTAACTTTTTGCGCAGATACACCAAAAAGTGTAACGTTTGCAGATAAGGGGATAGTTGAGTTCGAAGAACTTGGTAATTCGTAGACTGACTGGTCCTTCTTCAGTAAAACTGATGAAGCAACCGGTGGAGGTGTACTGTGAGTTGTTGAGGATCTAAAGCAGAAAGTTTCAATTTTGTTTAACATATGAAAAGTTTACTATAAGTTAATCATATAACTAAGAGAAAAAATCATCCACCCCGAAAAAAGTTATGTTACTGCTCCTATCTATCAATAGTATTTAGAATTCTTGCAGTGTCATACATTAAGAAAAATATTAGTATTAAAAATTTTTACCTTCCACTTGATGTCGGTGGACTGCAAGCATCATCACGCATTGGATGAATTGCTAGTGACTGAGACATTACAGCATTTAACATAGCTCTGTCAACTGTTGGTGGTGGCAATGAAGTTCTGAAAGACCTATTAAGCGGATATTGTCGTGAAAATAATACGCAACTGAAGGGCGAGCAGATCAATGGATCAAAATAAACTTGTCATATGTCAAAATCAATTACTCCTACTTTATCTATTCCGCTTTGCCAAAAGAACAATGAGCCAACCGGTATAAGGGATCTACAAGCATTGTAGGTCCCTCAGTTCGTAAACTCGACGAAAATGATGCCGCAGTCCCGCTGGATGATGTGGTTGTTGCTAATTTGACACTGCCGTAACTACTGCTGATTGCTGGTGATGTATTCTGCAGCAGTTCCTGCAAAACAAAGTAAGGATGAAAATGCCTTAGCTTAAAATCACAACAATTTACTTTGTGCGGAAATCTCTATTTCCCTCTACTGATGTTCTTTTTGCTCTAACTGTCTTCACTATTGACACAAATATTAAAAAAAAAAAATTTTAGTGCCCTCCAACAAAATATTACAATACGAGACAAGGAAGACCAGGTACGGCAGTTTAATCTTTACCATATGATATCCGATATCATTAACAACTAAGCCACAGGGGCAAAAAATTTATGTTTTATTATCCTTTTACCTTCTCCTCAAAAACATTTCAGTATCACTTTACTCTGAACTAATCAAATTTCTAAACAGGGATTACAATGAGTTTTCAACTGTCAGAATTTTTAAAACATTCAATATTCTATCGTTTTATGAAATAAAATTACTTACGGATGTATTAAAATGAGGTGAACTAGTAGAAGATGTTTGACCGCTGTTGTCACTGCTGCAGATATTTCCAATACTTAATTTGGGAGTTACTGCACGCTGGACAACACCACCACCACCTCCACTTCCCGACGAACACGATGATTCAGCGCGATGCCGATATGGTGGTATAATTTTTATTAACGGATCGCTGATCTGCAACATAATGAATATACAGTTAGATATATTAACACGGAGCTTAGAACTTCAAATTTGCATCCTATATACTAACACTTTATTGCTAATTATTTATTCTATTCTCTAAAATAAACAATTACACATAAGCATTCTATTTACAAATTATTTCTGTGAAAAATCTGGGAATGAATTTAGCACATGGTCAGTTGTTCTTACAAGAATTAATTTAAATGCCTTCATGCCTTCAGCGACAGATAGTTATTTCATCTAATACTGAATCCACATAACTCAATTGTGACCAATTTCATGTATTTTTCCCTTTACATACTGCTAAACAAATTTATTAAAAACATAAAAATGTCCACAGTTTAAATGATATATTATTTAAAATACTTCGAGGGAAGAAAAGATTACGATGAAGTATTAAAAAATAGATATGAAGAGGCAATACTATACACACGTTCGATTAGTTTGATGAGATAAAGTAATAATTTACAACTAGATATCACTCAGTCATGTCTCAAATAACATGACCTTATGAAAGGTATTATTGCTTGAAAACGATAAGTTTTCCTAAAAAAAAGTTTGATGAAAAAAATAAAATTTAAGAATCGAATCACATAATCACGGTCATTATTTTTTCTGTGATATAAAAAAGAAAGAAAACGATAAGTAGTGAAATTAAAAACAAAAATTTCGACTACAACAAATACACATGAAAAACAAAGAAAGTAAAAATTTAAGAAAATGATGAAAATCAAGAGAAAGATGATAACTGAAAAAAGATGTAAAATTTAACTATTTTAACTAGATAAATTAAGCTGCTGATTGAATGACTGCCATTCCACTACAGCTAGTTATGCTTTATAAACGCAGCTGCCACTGACATGACGAATAGCACTAACAGAAGAACAACGAATATCGACTCATCTGATTTATTTTCACATAGTAAATTTCAGCATATCATCATTCCTCCTTTTGTCGAACAGTAGCCGTCCATTATCGATAAAAGCTACTCACTAGCACCGATCATCATTATATACACATAAAATGTAAGAGAGAACATTTCTATTCAACTGTTCCAAATTCCACTGCACCATTTAAAATTTAATGGAATAGATTGTACATGATGGGAAAATTGGCGATTACATTTATTTTTTTTACATATTCACATCAATATTAGTACTTACAAACTGCTACCATTGCTACTCTTTCTCACTCCCATAAATAATTATAGAAATAACTGATCTACAGCAGTAAGTATCAAAACATCTAATTCGAGAGACAAAGAAAATATTTATAAATTAAATCAAATGAACAGTCTGATTTCATTGCATTACAAAAAAAGAAGATATCTGAACGATTCAAGAATTTAACAACTAACTAGGATTATGGAAAGAAAACATGTTGGAACACACAAGTATTTAGCCATTAGTGAAAGGAAACTTAGTATAGTCAAACGAGTATAAGTAAATAAAATTCAAAAGATGCTTAAATATCGAATTCAAAAAGCGAACGAAGCTAAAAAAAAAACAAAATGCCACACTTGAACAATTTATATTTTACGAACTAAACTGCTCAACAAAAAAAAATATAACAGATACACGAAAGCAAAAAAAAGGTCCTTTTCAAAAGGATACTATCGTTGTAAGATGGAGCGTAAAAAGAAAGCCAAAGTTATTCAAGTGTTAATAATTACAGTTATTGATGTAATGTAAAATTATTCACCGAGTTGCCAGCTAATTATACTATATATTTTTTTTGTAAAACGTAATTTTCTTTTTAATTGTACTATATATGTATATATATTTATAAAACATCAGTGAGATATAATTGTTGAATTTATTAAGGATTATTTAATTTTTTTTATTTCAGTTTGTATAAAGCGTTTCCCAAGTATTAGCTATAAAAGTAACGGAGAAAGTACATATCCCCAACATAAATTAAACAATTGAACAGCTTCTTTGCTGGAAGAAAAAGAGAGAAAAAAAGATCGACAATCAGTATGCGGAAGAAAAAGAATTCTTTGGCGCAACAACAAAATGCAATCAAAAAGAAAAATTGTTTACTAACAGATGGAAGCACGGCAAAAGTGAAGCGTCAATATTTTTTTCTGTCAAAACGTAATTTTCTTTTTGTTCCTACTCAGAGATGATGACCATATATGCACAATAACATCAACAAAAAACTAATATGTCAATTCAATGAAAATGCTGAAAATGAAACAATTCTTTTTGCAGCTGAAAATTCACCAAAAAAAAAGAAAAAATTTCATGGCTGTTTTTTGTAAAGTTGCAAAAAATACTTTCAATCATGTATACAATTAATACTATTTGCACTCTTTCATAGTATTAGTCTCAATTTTCGATCAAACTTACATTGCGAAGCAAATAACAATATCTGCGAAGTAAATATGGTTCATCTTCTACAATCACTCTGCATTCATATAGCTGCAGATAAAATATTAAAAAAAATTATTTCACAAATCCAATTAATTTACCATTTTTTGATCCTCACACTAAATCTAAATATTTTACTGATAAATTATTTAAAAAAAAGCTACACACAAGAAATAGTAAACAGTACAGCAATAAGTGGAGACAAAGGGCGAGAGACCTTTGGATACAACTTTTGAAATGTTTAATAATTGGGCTTAAATGCGATCCCACAGTATTGTAGCCAAGTCAGAAAATGAGCATTTGAAATGCATGTTTATTTATATATAATATAGTATATATATATATATATATTTCTCTCCCTTTGTACCACTATCCAGATTTAATGAACAACATCTGCATGACTTCTCCCTCTCTCCTCTCCTCTTTAAACACTCAATCCTCCCTTTTAACCATTGTACAATATTCTCTCCCTCTCTCTCTCTCTCTCTCCAACCATCCTCCTCTCACTCTTTACATCAAATGGATTGATGGAATGCACTGAATCAAATAGAACCAAAATCGACCAATGATAGATGACAATTGCTTTCCCTCCCTCCCTCTCTCTCTTTAGATCCCTTTAATTCTCTCCCTTCACTTATTTTTCTCTATTCTCAAACTGTAAACAATCTTCAGTATAACAAATACGTCTACATCATCTTTTATCTATACTATATTTCTATTGCTTGCTATTTAAACCCCTCAAACTATGTAAAGATGATAATGATGACGATATGATGACACCCAAAGCAATGTTCCTCTAATGCACACCTGCTTTGCTTCTATGCTTTCATTCCACACACGTAACTTTGCTGTCAATTATTTTTATGTGAATCAAATCAGTGATTACATCTTCTTCCTTACCCTCTTTGTTTTTTTCCTACAATCCAGTTTCTATTCACCATTTGTTTCTCGATTAAAATTTAATTCTATACCATACTGGAATTGCTTACACAAATAAACGAATGTAATAAAAATTGAACGCGCTTAGAACCATGACTTTTCAGCAGTTGCTTTGAAGAATGATGCTTTAAAAAAAAAGAGAAGGAGAAAAGAAACAAACCGCTTTCTTTGCATGTGCCGCACAGTAGCCACAATATTTGACATTTTTCGAACCACCACCTTCTTCACATAGCAAGCCTTCCCCTTGTGCGCAAGTAACATGAAAGCACTAGAATGAAATAATATTCGCATATGAATGATAACAATAAACGAAAAAAGAAATCTAATCAAATTGACACCCAGTTAAGTTGTCCGGAAAAAATTGCTTTGAAATTTATTTAAGCACGCTACAAAAAAATGCGTTTTCCACACAATCCTAGTTATCATCATTTTACAAACATTTTTTGCAAAATGAAATTGAAAAAGAAGACAATCCACTCTGATGAACTAATTAGCCAAATAAGTAAATGTACTACAGTTTGTAATGCTTTTCCCATTCTATGCTTATCAACTTTTATATTCTTACCTTTTTACAACCAGGTTTATTACACGGCATACATGCACCAAGATATGCTCGTTTTTCTTCCCCACGTTCCATGCATAAGTAACACTGCTGTTGAAACCTGAAATGTATAACATCATCAATGAACAAATACATTCAATCCTTCTCTCCATCTTCACTTTGAAGCTACAAAGAATTTTAAGAAAAATAAATTTTCTTTAATAAAAACTAACATAATTTAAAGAATTGGTAATAAACACATACGTATTAGGCATGTCTGCAAATGTTCAGAGAAAAGGACCAAAAAACCAACCAAAATTTTAAAGTACTTAAGGCTTATTATTGTTTATAATAAACAACCGCCATTGCAACTAGGTAAATAAGACCACAATTTCTCGAACACGACGAATTTAAATTCGATTATAAAATTAATTAAAGCAAAAAACAAATTTAGTACTTTAAAATGCTGGACAAAATGCATCGGGTAGAAATCAAAAAAAATTTGGCCATGATAATTTCAAAATTAAAGCTGTAAGGATAAAACTGACCGTTCCAGTGGAACATCACTCAGAATTACTGGATCCATACTGTGGACATCTCCAAAACGCACTTCCGGTATGTACAAAGCGCATATGACATGTGCCCATTCTGAAACTGAAAGTTGAACATAGCAAAGAGAGACAAAAATGCAAAAGCAACCAAAAAAATGAATTACACTTTTCTAATCAATAAATCAGCCATTCACCACTAATTTTTAATTTCAAATTCCAACAGATCCAAACAAATTAACATTAAGCTGAAAGAAGACAACAAAAGAACAGTCTTCATGATCTGTAAAGCTATCATTACATTCTGAAAAGATTTCGTATCTCTAAACAAATTAATCAATTATCTTGCTCGCTACTAACTCTGCAAATTTATCCTTCAGTTCATCTGTTACATTTTATAAACGTTTAGCTATTACTAATTTAAACTGCTTCTGCAGAGAGGAACGACAGTGGTAAGGAGAGGAAAGAGGAAATGCCAAGAGATTACATTATAACCTTTCCATTCATTCGTCAGAATGAATGACGAATGATGATACTACGCATTTGTAGTGTTTACTCAAGGTGATATATAAATAAATATCATACGATCTAAACTACCACAACACTGACCATCGTTATCGGTTCGTTTGAGTGCACCATGACCAAAGGGGCACAATTTACAACGCGGTGTCTCGCGTACCTCTCCAATATCACCGCTGTTTCCGTTGTACTGCGAATGTGCGATAAAATCGGCACACTTTGCACAATACCATTCACCTTCTGGTACTTCAACAATACCATAACAGCCTGAAAATTATCATATTAATAATGCTTCTGCAACAAGCTTTTACAACAATTTCCCTTTTTCCATAATATGCCCATTCGACCACAATAATAATAATATCTTGCAGCACCCTAAAATTACGCTCTTACTTGCTTTTAAGTGTAATTAAAACATTATTAAAATTAAATGTTTTTCATGAAATTGAAAGAACCCACGATTCGCAACCTACGACAAATTTTAGCACGTGGGAGTAAATAACAAATATTAGAATGTAGTAATATTACAGAACTATAATAATCATCAAATATTAGAAAATTGCAAGAAAAAAAAGCCTGAATCAATAATGTTTATCTCACTAACAAATCTATAACGCACTGCATCATCACATATTAATCTCTCTTAGAAGGAAGCGAAAATTCTACATGTTAGTCATAAAATACTATATTTTAACCAAAAAAAAAAAAACATATAATTTCTCCTAACAATTCAGCGCCATCAACTTATCTCATTTACATTCATTGTTATTTTACATATATGAAATCAGTAATAACAAGAAACAATATTAATGTAATAATGATTTCTATTCAAACAATGTTCGTATTTCTCATGATGGGTGGTAAAATTCATGGTGAAACAACTAACCATCGACACTAATACAACTCATTACCCGATGTACAAATGATTCACTTTTTATGCATCTCCTCTCTGTGTAATGTGAAAATCGAAATACCGTAGTCTTCATCACTCTTTCAAATCAATTGCCATCAGCAGCGCGACATGCATGCACAAAATCGCAAAATGTCAAATAACTAACATCTACATTATAATAGCTGTTGCACTAGCAATGGTACCACCACTAAATAATAGTAGTTGCTGTAGCAACAGCATTGCAATGAATTCAAACATTTAGCAAAAAGATATTGTGTTAATGCTTTATGTGCATTATTTGTGATCGAGCGATAGGGAAAGAAGAAAAGAGGAAGAAATCCTAATGACCAATACTATACTATATCAATGAGAGAACAGAAGTAAATATCGCTGTTGATTATTCACTGCTCGTTACATCTAAAATGACGATGACGACATGGTGACAGTCATAAATGACGGCAGTGACAATCACAACAAAATCGATGATAATATTGACGGAAAATTTTGGCTATGCACATAAAGAGAGTAAACAAATCGACATTTGAAATGAATCGATAGTGAGAACCAATCAATCGTAATAAATGCATAACGACAGAAACAATCACTTCATTTAGTTGTCCAAAAATTGCGAATTGGAACAATAGTGAGTCATCATCTTACATTCTTCACTCAAACTAAACCGACAATATAAAAGACATTTTTACAAAAAAGAAAAAAAATCCTCTTGCACTCATATCAGTTCTTATGAACTCAAAAATACTCTTTCCGCTTTTTTCAAATAATAAAAGCTTCAAAGTTTTAATGTTTGTTGAAAACTACAACAACCCCTTCTAAAAGTACACACCATCATCATCATCATCATCACAGTCATCCCTCAAACCAGACAGTCACGCATATGAGTCATCTCTCTCTCTCTCTCTCTCTCTCTCTCTCAAACACTTTCAAGCAATTTTACCATCAAATAACAATAAAATGTAATGGTTTGTTATTCGTAAATTACAGTCAATAGATATAAACAATGACGTCATGCATATGTGTAATAGTAGGAAACGATCTGGGATCAAAATGAAAAGAAAAAGCTATGGAAAAAGGATGTTAATATCGAGAGGAACATTTGCTACAACTGCCAACGTTATTTTCTTTCTCCCCTTTCCTCTCTCTCTCTCTCTTTCTCTCTCTCTCCCGTACACATAGTTCCCCATTAAACAAAGTGCAATTTTTCCAAGAAAAAATAAAGCATACATTTTATGGTATACACACATATATATATATATATA